TCAGGAGAAAGGCCGGTAGAGTGCCGCCATTGCGCCCCCCGCGCCGTCGTCGGGGCCCTCGTCCGCCATGGGCCGCAGCTGGGCGGCCAAGCGGTCCAGCCTTTCCGCCATCAGCGGGTCCCCGTCGCACCAGGGGGGCGACCGGCCCGCGTGAAAGTGCCTGTAATTGAACCGAAGGAAGGCCACTTTACTGCACAAAGCGAACCACTCGGGGCTGACGTTCCGGGCCTGGTCTGGAAACATGTCGAGCAGACTGCCCCAGACGCGCTCGACCGAAACGGCGCCGCTCTGCACCGCGACCCCCGCTGCCCGAATGGCCACGGCGGCGTCGCGCCAGGCGAACAAGCCCTCCAACCGGGCGCTCTGGAGAAGCCGTCTATAATGTGTTCTGACTTTCGTGTTGAACACGCTGCGCGCACCCCGTACCTGCGCGGGCGCCGTGTCGCTCCGGATCATTCCCCTCCGGGCGCGGGTCAACCTCCCCCCACCCTTGTGCCGCTTCCTGAGGCGGCGGATCTCCTTCTTGAAGCCCGAGTGGTCCAGGAAGTTGTGGAGTCCGCTGTCAGGGTGCAAGGGGCCCCCCAGGCGCTTCGCCAATCGCTCGAGGGCCCCTCGTGGCGGGATTGCTTGAAATTCCTCCTGCCAAACGGTGGGCCGCAACGCGCCCGCGGAGCCGAGCAGCTGCCTGAGCTCCCGCGCAGCTCGCGGGCGCCGAGAAATCCCCCGGCCGAAAGCGGTGGCGGGCTGCTCGACGCCGAAACGCAAAAGGCGCCGCGCCGCCAGTGAGGGCGGCGAGGGCAAGGCCCCCAGGGTCGGCGCTGGCGGGAGGGGCGCGGACAAGCGGTTCAAAGCGTCGGCGTGGTCGGCAATAAAATCGCGCCAGTCGTTGCACGTGGGAGGTACCAGCTTCCGCAGGGCGATGACGTCATGCCATGGGTCGCCAGTTATGCAGGTCGGGCAAGAATCCACGTCCGCGCTGCCTGCCGCGTCGCCCAGCGGAGTGCGCGCAAGCGCGCGTGTGAATTTCTGGCCACTTCTGCCTGCACAGGGCGCAAAGCCGATTGCGCTGACTGCGGACGTTGTCAGTGGCATGGAAGGCGGGCGCGCACGCCTCTGGCGGCAGACCTTCAGCGAGGCGGGTTGCTCTGATGGAGTCCAACAGCGGCGCCAAGTCTTCGACGACGCAGTTGAGCGTCTCCCCGCGCTTCAGAGCCACGGGCTGCAAAAGGCTACCGTCTGTCCCAATCCACGCCAAGACGACAGTGCAAGGCCGCAGAGGGAAGCGCCTTCCCCAGAGACGCATGCATACCCGCTTCGCCAGCTTGAAGTTGCCGTCGCCTCGGATCACTTGACCTGGAGGCCCGCTGATCTTCAGACCCGTTGGCAAGCGAGGCGCTGCCCCCCCGCCCTGCCACCCGCCCCATTCCCCCGCCCCGCGCCCCGTGGGCTCTGACGAAGAATGTGGTCTGGAGGCCAGCGGACCATTGCACAGGCACTGGAGGCGCTGCACGCGAGCCACGGCAGTGTCCAAGAAATTACCGAGCGCCACCTTGAGCATGGACCGCAAAGCACCCTGTGGCGGCACCGCCGTCGCGGCGGCAGCCGCGCCGGAGCCGAGCTGCAAAGATAACGCGTTGGCAGCGTGCAGACTGAGAGTCCTGCGGCGGACGGCGCGCACGTTCAGCTCGTCGTAGAAGCTCTGGATGACGAGTACGAGGAAGGCCGCTGCCATGTACATCGGCGCCTCCTTGGGGGGCTTGCGGGCGAGGGTGCCAGGGAACGCGCTGCGTATATCCGCGTCACCGACTGGGAACACTCTTCCGCAAGGCCCAGTGCCACGCCAAGGGCGCGCGTCAAACGGCATCGGGAGAGGAGCATCGAGGATGTAGCGTACCTGCACAACTCGATCATGTCTTGGAAACGCGCCGCGCGGGTTGCCCAGCGCAGCGCTGGCGGCAGCATGGCCCCGCGAAGCCTGGGGCTGGATTTCGGCCGCGCGGCCGCGCAGCTGCGTCGTCTCGGCGGGGTCCCGCGGCACCGCCACGCGCGCGGCCCATCGGTTGGCAAGGCCGCGCGCGGGCGCGAAGGTCATGCTCGAAGTTGCGCCCTCGACTTCCAAAGGGGCGCGCCGTTGGAAATGGACGCTCGCACCCCTGCCAATCTCGTCTGGCCTCGGCGTGAAGCAGGTATGCACTTCCGTCGAGGATCGCGCGTCCACCGTCCGTGCGTCGCGAAGGCGCGCGACCCAGCCATCTCCGCCCCTGCGCAGAGGCGCGACGTCGGCGCGCGGGACACGCCACGTCGTGTACACTGCGAGGACGAAGACACCCCCACCTTGAAGCCTCGCAGAAACGCCGGCGGAAAGTTTCTGGGACGGCGGCGCCATCGCGCCGAGCGTTTCAGGGCAGAGGATCGAGCACTTCAGCAACTCCTGCAAAACTGCGTCGGTCCTCCCTGCTGCTACCCTGGCGGCGGCGTCCCCAGGCGTTCCGCGACGTGCCGCGAATTGCGCGGCGGGGCGCTGGCCTGCGGCGGTCTCGCAGGATCAGCGGCGGAACCTCTGCCCAACGGGGGCCGAACGGCAACGGCGCGGGGCGGCCGCGGGGCGGGCAGGAGCCCAGGCTGCGGCGGGGTGGCCGCGGTTCTCCGCGTGCCCGCGTCTGATCGGCGCCTGCGCGGAAACCTGGCGGCCCACGGAACGTGGACAGATGGGCGGTGAGACTGCCGCAAGGACGGCCGAGGGGCGGCCTCCGCCCCTCGGCCCTCCGCCCCTCCAGGGAAATACGGATCCCACTTGGTCGACCTGCGCCACCTCTGTGGGGAGGTAGGGATCCCACGCGGCCCTGGGGCTTCGGCCCCTGGGGCTTCGGCTGCGCCCCGCCATGGGTTGAGCCAAATCGGCTCGTGGTGCTGGCAGTGGCGGTGGTGACGATACTCCTCGCTGGCTCTATGAATCGATTGTGCTTTTTGTTGTCGGGTATCGTGTGTGCTTATGTGTGCGGCAATGAGTGTGGTTGTGTGTTGCGTGTGGTGGTGCTTGTGTGTATGCTTGTGCGTGTTCGTGTTTGTTTGTGTATGTGTGTTCGTATATTTGCGTGTTTGCGGGCGTGTTTGTCGTGGTCGTCCGTGTTTGTGTGGTTGAGTGCGTGTGCGTGTCCGCGTGCGCGTGCGTTGTGCGCATGTGCGTGTGTGTGTGATTGTGTGCGGGGGGGGGGTGAGGGAGGAGCCGACCCTCGCAAAGGCCACGTCCGCCTCCTGCCCAGGAAGCGAGGAGGAAGACGACGACGACGAACGTGCAGGAGGGGGGACGGATGAGGTTGAGAAGGAGAAGCAGGAGGAGGAGGAGGAGGAGGAGGAGGAGGAGGACGAAGAGGAGAAGGACGAAGAGGGAAGAGGAGGAGGAGGACGAAGAGGAGGAGGAGGATGGATGGATGGATGGCACGCTCATGAAGGCGGTGACTGAAGGCAAGCTTGCAAGCCAGAGAAAATCTCACGTCGATCACTCGGTCGTTTTGTCCTTCCCGCCCAAAGCGAGGAGCAGCTGACGGGACAGGTCCCAAAGCATCCAGGGGGTCCTGGATCCTTCCGGCGAAAAATGCGGCGCACCAGCCGGACGCGTCCCACCTGTATACGCGTCCTCTCGCCGTGCGCGTACCCGTATTTGACGAGGCGCACGTCCAGACGCGCCTGACCGAACTCAGCCATTCAAAATCCTGCTCTCGAAAAGCGTGGCCGGCCATCGAATCACTATGGCGCGGAAGGTGGGATAGCCACGGAATGCGAAAAAAAAAACACCCGGGACCACTGGGTCCTTGCACCGTTGCACCCTTGCACCCTTGTACCTTTACCCCCTTGTACACATGCACCCTGCACCGCTGCACCCTTGCACCGCTGCGCCCTTGCACCCTTGCACCTTTACCCCCTTGTACACATGCACCCTTGCACCGCTGCGCCCTTGCACCCTTGCGCCTTTTACCCCCTTGTACACATGCACCCTTGCACCGCTGCACCCTTAGACCCTCGCACCCTTGAGCCCCTTACACCCTTGCACCCTTGCGCCCTCGCACGTAAAACCGCAACGGCTCATAGAGCAGGAGGGGGAGGGGGAGGAGGAGGAGAAGGAATCTGGAGAAGCGGCAAGGACGGGGCAAGGAGGACGAAGAGAAACTGGGGGAGGTGGCTGTGGTTTCCGAAGGGTGTTCCGCCTGCTCCTCCTTCACTCCCTATGGTCCCCCTGTGTGTTTGACCCCTCTGGGCTCGGCGGCCGTGCAGCTGCCATTCACTGGGGCGGGGAAAAGCCGCCGACTTCGAGCTAAGGGCGCAAGGGTGCAAGGGTGCAAGGGGGCACCGTTAGCGGCTAACGGTGCAGCGGTGCAAGGGTGCAGGGCTGCACCGTTAGCTAAGGGTGCAAGGGTGCAAGGGTGCAGGGCTGCACCGTTAGCGGCTAACGGTGCAACGGTGCAAGGGTGCAGAGCTGCACCGTTAGCTAAGGGCGCAAGGGTGCAAGGGTGCAGGGTTGCACCGTTAGCGGCTAACGGTGCAACGGTGCAAGGGTGCAAGGATGCACCGTTAGCTAAGGGCGCAAGGGTGCAAGGGTGCAGGGCTGCACCCTGAGCGGCTAACGGTGCAACGGTGCAAGGGTGCAGGGATGCACCGTTAGCTAACGGTGCAAGGGTGCAACGGTGCAGCCCAAAAATTAATTGCGCCCTGATTGCCCCTACAATGGAATTGTCACCCGAAGCTACTAATAGAGCATGAAACACGGCTTACTTGGACGATGCTGGACCCACCGCAGTCTTGAGGCGCTTGGCAAGTTTCTGCACATTGCCCTGAAGTCGCTTGACCGCGACCCGTACAACCTTTTCCGCAATAGGCACCCCGAAACCAGAGCCACGAAGCATTTCGCTGAGATCAGTGAGGTCAGTGTCGTCCGTGTTCGCATCCATTTGTGCACCAGTTGCAAGAGGCACGGCTTGCTCTGGCTGTGGCCGAGGGACAGG